TTGGGGGCATAAGGTTGTTGGCATCCTCGAGGGCACGGATTGGCACTCGATCTTCATCGCAAGTGAAAACAGTTCTCTTGCAGACCACATACTCGTACAAAGGGACAGGACGAAAGTCGGTGACGTAGAGGCGGGCATCGAGCCAGGCCGCTACCTCAGAGACGTTCGGGAGCGTTGCGGACATGCCGACTATCTGGCATGTAGGAGCGAAGTAACGTACTTTGGCTACCAAGACCTCTAATAGATACCCTCGTTGGCTGTCACCGAGGAGGTGAAGCTCATCCAATACGAGGCAACCGAGGAGCCGAGAAAGCTCCGAGCCAGGATCGACTCCTGGCTGTTCTAATAAAGCGTTGACCAAGCTGTTGGCCTTCTCAATAGTGCAAACTGCAATGTCGTACCGTTCCATCGCCAGGAAGTTGCCAGAGGAACCACCATAGAAAGCCTGGACCTTGTATTGAGCAGATCGGCAAAGACTCTGGAGGTAGGCTTCCTTCTCTGAGACTACACTGATGTAGGGTAGGACGAATAACGCTCGGCGACCATCACCAGCGAGTCGGCGCAGCATGACGATCTCGGATACCAATGTCTTGCCACCACTGGTTGGAGCACAGTAGATGAGGTTACGATGGCCATCGAGAATGCCAGGGAGGGAGAGGCACTCGCTTTGCCATTGGTACAGCTGATTGACACCTCTCGTGCGGTAAACCGATACGAGGGACTCCTTTAGTCCGAAAGAGCCGATGTCCATGTAAGAGTCAAGGGTTATAAAGCGGATGAACTAGAACGAATTCGTATCAGGTGATAATTCAAGTTTAACATGCGAGAACATATACACAAACGAAAAGCTGGCCATATGAGGAGTGCTTCAGTTGACATAGTCCGCACGACTGCGAGGATGGGCTACACGGACTTACCCAATGAAAGCTCACTTTAGTTCCATGGGAACAATTTCGCAACAGAGTCGTGCCACGGATTATGATTTTTGAGCGCTGACGGTAATCTACGGACTGCACTGTAACGCTGAACGGTACAGTGCAGTTTGCGAGCAGTGGAGGATGATCAGAGGTTCGAACCGAGAGATTGTTCGGGTTCGATACTCCATCAACCCTTCGTTGTGACCCAACGTGAAGCCGGAGAAGCACTCATGAATCTTCCTCTGTACAATAACTGTTCACATTGGGAAGTAACCTCGAGTATGAGTGTGAATGATGCAATGATGCATATCGAGATGGTGTGAAAGTGAGTCGACTTTCATTGCTCGAAATTGGTCTTGTGTTCGACGAATTTGAATTTGCGTTTTCGAACTCATAAATTGTTTGAATTTTCGTTTTCGAGTGGCCTACGAAAAACGAAATTTCATTCCTGTAAAGCTCCTTTCACTCAACGAGAATCAAATACCTAGTTTGTTCTTTCACTTACTTAACGTAGGATTGAATAGATGTAGAAGCATTTCTATTGTCAAGAGCACCACTCAACGCTGAAGGCATTATATCCAAGCTAATAGAGTCCCGAAAAGCGCGGTTTCAACTGTCCACGATTGACCACACTCAAGAAAGGCATCACGAAGGACATGAAGTTAACTATTGAGGAACACTTAACACAAATGGGAATCATTTCTTCGCATTTTTCGTTTTATACTCTCACTTGCCCTCGCCACAGATTCCGGGTTAGCTGCGATCTATTCATCCACCTCCCCCTGGAGCCAGGACCTGTACAAGAACCAGGACTAT